GATTCTGTGCTCCAGGTGGAGAAGGCCTCAAGAAGGTGAAGGGATGAGCTAATCTGAGCTCCATGGCCCCATTTCCAAGGATGTGATTAGTGGAGAGGCACCTGGGACCTGCTCCATTTCAGGAAACCCGGTTATGGGAACTGGTGGGGGACAGACTTTGCTCAGGACCTGAGAGAAACAGTTAACCTTTTCCTATTGTCTGTATGGGAAACAGCTTCTTCTAATAGTTTCCCAGGGGGAAAGGAACTCCTCAAATGGACTTAGTTTTGCATCAGCCTGATAAGGGGGACTTCAGGGATATTTTATACCTAAGTTCCTGGGGTCAGTCTCTTCAGGGCCTTTGAATGCTCTAAGGAAGCCTGAGGACAACGTAGGACCTAAGAAGAATCTAGGAATAATATACGTGGAGAGGGCACATTCAAAAGGGAAAGCAAGCTCAACCATTCCTAAAATGTCACTGTCTACCTGACAGCATTCCTTAGGATGTTCTGGTTCCGCTCAAACCATTGGGTTTGGGTCAGAATCAATCTGGAGCTCTTCTGGTAGACTCTCTTCTGGCCAGAGAGGGGATTTCTTCTCAGAATAAACAAGATATCCAAAGTGGACATGAAACACTAATCCAAATCCTGAGATGAGTGGAGGAATGCAAGCAGAATCAACATGCCACTAAGTCTAAGGACTAGGGAGAATTGGCCCCCGGCAGACACTGCTAGGACCTGAATATCAGGGCTGAAAATATCCGGGCAGCATCCAAAGGCTCCTTGGTTGACCCGATTGACTAAGGTGACCTTAACCCTGGGCAGATTGTTTAACTTCTTGGGGGTTCACATTCCTTCATCTAGTGAAGATCATCGCTAACCTCTATAGTTCCTTATGGTTCTATCATTTTCTTGCTCTGAAGTTGAGGTCTAATTAAAAAGAGTTTTAATAATGTGGAGTCACTCCAATAGTATGTTAGCATACTCCAAACAGGTTGGGGGCAAAAACTGATGGGTGAGAGAAGGGCTAGATGCTGTGGCTCGCTCAAGCCTTAATTTGTAGAAGCTGAGGAAATCTGAGTTCATTGGCTCCATAGCTTTTGCACAGAAGGGATGGCTTCTCATGGTAATATTTATGTTCCCATACCACAGAACTCTGACACAAGCAGTTAGGCAGGTCATAGCCAGGTGGGAGATACACTAGGTATGGGTGAGTGGAAAGAGATTTTTGTTGTAGATTCTGGCTCTGCCATTTACAAACTCATTGTCATACAACCTCTCCTTGGAACCTCATCGTCATCATTTATAAAATGATGATAACACCTTTCATATGAGGTTGGATTCCTTAACATAAATAAGACCACTTAGCACAGAGGAAATGCCCACCAAATGTCAAGCCTGCATCAAACCTTGCCTGGCTACAGGGATATATGCTGTGGAAGTTGTAATGGCAGGCCCACTATATCAAAGGCTCACTTCCTTGCTTTTGCCTACTTCCGGTACGGAGGGGGTGAAGATTCTCTGTCCCTGGCTACCTCTGTTAGGCCTCCCTTGCCTCTAGGATGGTGTTAGGTGTTCTACTGCATGTTCATCCCCAAGGCGTGCTCCAAGGCCAAGAGCTGAAAGCCAGCATGACCAACTTATCTGAAGAACTTCTATGCTGGCAACTGTTCTTCCATCCTTCATTCACAATGCCATTCTCAAGGTGGGGCATTTTCTGCTGAGCCAACACTCTCCATGGGAAATATTTTAAAGAGCCATCCTCATCACCTTGGTTTCTCACCCATCAAGTAGTGAAGAAAACAACTGTCTTACAAGATACTCGTGAGAGTTAAAAATTTATATAAAGAGCCATTAGTGTCCGACAACAAGCAGTCATTCAAAAAATGTTAGCTCCCTTCCCCTTGCAACTTCCCTTCCTAATGGGGACACCTGAGAGAGAAGAGAGTGAAAGGGAGAGAAAGGCTCCAATGATTCCCCAAATGCTAGCTCTTTTATGCAGGCTGACATGGTACTATGATGAATTTTCCAGAAATAAAAGCCGCCTTTCTCCAATAGGTTTACCTGTGAGCAACTGAGATGGGGAGGGTGGTCAACAGCGTTGAACGCAGACTTGAAAAGGCTATGATTCAGGTCTCAGTAGACATGTTCTTTAGAGTATCACCAAGGCTGTACACCGAATTAGGTACTCTGCCAACTCTCCTACCTGTTCAGTCCAATCCTGGCTTCTTGGAGCTGGGGTGGAAGAATTTTCCCTGAAGGAAAGCAGCCAACACCCGGCCCCACCCTTCTCCTTGGGCAACTCTCTGCCGGGCAGAAATCTCTCTCACCAGTTTTCTCTGGGGTGCCTGAGGAAACAGCTGCCAGATCACCCGTTTGGGCTCGACCCCCCCTCGCCACGCCCCTCCCTGAACTCGCCGGGAGCCCTGCAGCTGGAGTCTAGAGAACTACCTTCCCGTCAGCTGGGAACACTCCCGGAAAACCCGAGCTTCTCCTGTCAGCCGGCTCCTAGGACAGCCGGCTCCTACCCTTGGCATATTTAGCGGAGTCAAAGGGGGGAAGGGGCCTTTTATCTGGGGTCAAGGGTCCCCTTCCAGGTCCTGATTGGGCACTTTGAAATTAGGCTGGGAACATGCTGGGGACAGGTTGCCAGAGAAAATATAGGCCACCCAATTTTGAATTTCAGATGAATAAATAATTTTTTAAGTATATATATGTCCCAAATATTACATGGGACATACGAATGCTTTTTTTCTTTTTAAACTATACTTCAAATTCAGCTGTCTGTCCTGCATTTTCAACTGCTAAATCTGGGAACCAGAGGTTGGCCTGGGGGACTAGGGGCAGTCCGCGCAGGAGGTGAGGCTGCTTGGGGGGTCAATAACCGGCTTCGGGGTCCCGCAGCAGGGGCTTCTTCAGGCTGAGGGCGGCCGAAGCGTTTTGAAAAGGGCTGAGGGCTGCACCTCGGCGGGAGCGTGGGAAAATCTCTTTCAGGAGGAAGAAGTCGCGGCCTTGCCTCATCCCTGGTCGCCTCCAGCTTCACTCACCGCCCGCTGGCTCTCCCCAGCCCCGCGGCCCGCCCAACCGTCCACCCACTGGCCGCGGCTGCTCGGGGAGGCTCCCCAGGCGCCTGAAGCAGGTCCGGGGA